TGCCTCTTTCTATGATACTACGTCAAACTGCACCTACAATGGTTTGGAGTGTTTTTAAGAAATATGGTCAAAGTGACGATTTTGTGACAAAACCCAGCTGAAGGAGAATTCTTCAAAATGATTTTTCTGCAGTTTGAGTCATTACATAAAGTATCTGACGTTTACTGTGTTTAAAAAGGAAAACGATAAATGGCAATCAGGAGAAGCAAATGTTTATCTATCGGCGATACTTTAATCCCTGGGAATTAAAAATTTAAAGCATCATCCTGTAAATCTTTTGATTGTTTTTCATGTTTTCATTTTTTTAATCTTTCAATAAAAACCTACAGCTTAATAAAAAAAGGTTAAAGGTCATTTTTTTCCCCATGCTGCTGCTCACGCTGTGCAGATGACTTCACTACAAAGATATGGAGGTACTGCCACCTGCTGGAATGATTGGAGGCTCTTTACCTTACAACATAAAGCTCCATAAGGCCATGAATTCATTCTTACTCACACTGCATGCCTCACTGTTGTCTGGCTTGTTAGGAAGAAGGAAGGAGAAAACCTTTAGCGCTCCGTCACACTCATCAACCGTCTGGTTCACCTCCTGGCAGCTTGTAATCACAGTGTAGAAGTGGGTGGGAACGGGGAAGCCATCAGCTGAGAACCTGGAGCGAGGAGGGGGATCAGAGACACGTGCAAAATGTGAAAAAGTGAAAAGCACAGGTCACCGTACAAATGCATCACTTACACTGCTGTGGCTGCTTACGTTAGGAGCTAAATTGCATCAGAAGTCTAGTAAATCTTTAAATAACCTCCACAATCAGAGTGACAGTGTAAGCTCCACAAAGTGAAAACCACAGCATGCCGTGTAATTATTAATCACTTAAATGATTCCTCACATGGAGACGACATGCTCGCCATATATTTATATATAGTGCATTTATGACACAGGCAGACAGGAAGGCTCATAAAGACTGGAGAGCATCGGAGGGATAAAACGTCCATCCGTGTACTCACAGCGCTGCTGGGAAAGAGCTGAGGGAGTTATCAGGACTCACTGCTGCCTCAGAAATGTGCACATCCTGTCTGCAATATAATCAGACTGTGTATATCCTGCCACCCCTCTTGTAAAGAGGGTATAATATAGTTAATCATTTATATTTGTGTTGTATTTTGCATTGTCTTGCTTATTCTTATCTTTTCTCTATGACTGAGAGCTCTGCGCTGCTTTGTGCACAAATGGCAACAAAATAACCTTGAACCTTGTGTTTATGTGTTTTGACACACATGCACATGCAAGTTTACTTTAGTTGTTATCAGCTGACCGAGCGCCATCATCGCTCGCCGCTGCGGTGAACTTACTCTTTTATCTTCTCGGTGGTGTCTCGAAGGCCGTCGTAGTTGTAATCAAAAACAGGGCCGCAGAGAACGTTGATCCCATTGTTGGCCTCGGCGTAACGCCGCAGCAGCGTGCCTTGTAGGTAACTCCACACTCCTGCACACCCACAGAGAAATAGGTCATGCTGTTTATACTCTCACTTTTTTATAAACATCAGTAAGAAACACTCGAGAGCAGCTCCCCCTCTGTCCAGTATTCGATTTTGTAAATATTCATTTTTTCTTTTCGAGTAGATTTTTCATTTCAAAGAAAGAATAAAAACAGGAGAAGTGAGGTTTTACTGGTGGAGTGAACATCTGTAAATCTACTGACCATAACTAGACTTTAGGCGTCACGTCCTAAATAAGCAAACCTATCCTGCCCATTTATTCCTGCAACCTTTTATGGCCTTAATATAGAACCTATTAGCCGAGCAGACGCAAACAGACACAGCTGACGCACACACAGTATAATGGATGCATGCATGGGGCAGGTATGCAGAGACTGAGCGTCTGCTTTCTCCTGATAAGTCCTCTCTCTCTTTATAAACAATGGTTATCAGGCCATCCTCGCTCACACCTGACATCACCACATTTCTGTCCCGTGTCTCATGGAACAACTCAATTTCCACCTCCACGAGCACAGTTACACTAACAGATAAAAATGCACATGATGTCAGACTCATTGTTTAAACTATTCTCTACTCTAAATACAAAGGGAGGGGGTGAGAAAGTGAAATAGACTGTCACCAAACAGTGTTGTTGCAGCGGCTTCAGTGCTGATAAGAATTCATAATTATTCAAATAGAGATTCAGTCACTTCAGACAATCTGACATGTTTTTGTTTTGGCTTCGAGCTAGAGACTGTATATCAAAGATGGACATTCCCGCTGTACTTTTGTATTTTGAAGCCTTGATGTTGGCCGAGGGCCTACTGTGGCTCAGACTGAGGAGCGAGCTGCCGACCAGCTGGATCAGATCCTGTCAGTGGATCATGAACAAGATACTGAACCCCAGGTTTGAGTGTTAGATAGAAGAAGCTCAGGTGTCGATAAAAGCACCGTATAAACAACTGATCAAACTTAATAAAAAGATGCTATGGCAGGGGTGGGAAACTCCAGGCCTCGAGTGCCGTGTCCTGCAGGTTTTAGATGTGTCCTTGATCAAACACAGCTGATTCAAATTGCTAAATTACCTCCTCAACATGTCTTGAACTTCTCCAGAGGCCTGTAATGAGCTAATCATTTGATTCAGGTGTGTTGACCCAGGGTGAGATCTAAAACCTGCAGGACACCGGCCCTTGAGGCCTGGAGTTCCCCACCCCTGTGCTACGGTTAAGGTTCTAAGTTCTAGTCCAGGGGTGGGCAACTCCAGGCCTCGAGTGCCGGTGTCCTGCAGGTTTTAGATGTGCGCTTGATCCAACACAGCGTATTTAAATGACTAAATGACCTCCTCAACATGT